GGGGTAATCGGCGATTGTAATACCGATCTACTAATTCACGTAACAAAAATCCGGTAAATTACTGTAGGCCTCTGTATCAGATTCATTTTTATTTGAGACCGGAAGATTTAGCTGTGAATATACAGTATATTTACATGTGGACGATTTTCCTGATGTCATGATCAGTTAAATTAGATATATTATTTTATAACTGACGTAATCATATCACGGGATTTTTTTTATTTCCTAACCAATGATCAGCATGTCATGCAGTTTTTGAAATAAAAAATCATGTGACTGAAACTTCTGTCTTGTCTGAAGTCAATGTTCAAAGTTAGAGATAAAGTTATCATAAAAATTTTTGAAGTGCTGTATATACAGTGTTATATATACATACAAGCTTTATTATACATAAATTTTGCAAGCTTGGCCGTTAATAGTATTAGCATTTTGTGCAAATGATGGAAACCTGTAGGTGATAGCGTGATACTACAGGTGATATTGCAGACTCTTCTGACAATCGATATTAGAAAATCTTGATTAGTAATTGTCCAGTCGTGTCGAATATAGCAAACATTCTCAATATACCAATACTTTATTTAATGAAATGAATGTTGCCTTCCGCAACCACAAATACAAAAATATATTGCTGTATACTAAGCGTTATCCTATTTAAGCACTTTATCGACTTCTTTATGAATATCGAACGGGTCTTAATCTTTAAAAGAAATCCAAGTCTCTTTTATTGTTTTAATGAGTTCCGCAGGATCTACCTTGGCTCTATCAGCACTCTCATTAATTAAAAAGACTATGTTATCGATGCTAGTCTCTTTGTGATTTACAACTGAAAGAGTGAATGTGAAGTATAAAGCATTTTCACATTCTGAAATAACTCCTTTGACTGCAAAGGCATATATCCAAAGCTTGATGTCTATTCTAACAATCGCATTATGTAACAGAGAGACGAATATAAAATCTTGACTCTGTTCACCAATCGTTGAATTCCCCAAGAAAGTACTTAAACCAGTCTTAATAATCTCCTTAAAACCTTAAACGATTTCAACTTCTTTATCTTTTACGGGTAAAAGCTATTAAGAATTTTATCGAGACCTTCAGAGGGCTTAAAGATGTACAAATATAACGATTAGAGTAAATAACAATAAAACAAATGACAATGATCAATGAACATATCGCTTCTACTATAATAGAGAAGACACTTATAGTGGATGATATATTGACCATGCTTTCGTGATAACGTCAGAGAGAGCTGTCTTTTACCACTTTGACACCCCCGCTATCACCAGAAATCGTTTTTTTTAAATCTTCTTTAAATGATCATTCTGAAATTTGAGAAGGAGTTGCACAAGCTTGAGTTGCTCTAGCTTTCGACATTTTTCCTCCTCGTTGGGTGTTTTAAGATTGCTAATAACTGCGCTGATAATTTGTCCCATTATTATTTCACTTGGTTGCAGGAAAAAGGGTAGAGTTCTATGCATATAAATAATGATAAATTTTTACGCCCATTTTTAAGATTGCGTGTCCAGAACACAGTTATGTTTTTGAGAGACCATTTTGCGATAATTATTTATTAGACAATGAGTATTAGCACACATTATATTAGATAT